AAAAAAGTGTTAAAGGAATCCTGGACGTTTTCTAGTCCAACTCCAGAGATGAGAACAGGGTTAAAATGCCTCTTGATGAATGGCTAGACAGGTGGTCTCCTGAGCTGCTGATCTATCTACCTGGGGGTTCTAGAATCTGACTCTGTCACAACCTAAGAATTAACTGAATGCTGAGGCAGTGCTGTTGATCAGAAGCATGGCTGGTTATTGCCCCTCTTTAGCAGCACCACGTAGATGTGAGTGCTGAATGGAGCAGTCAGTGCTTTGGTGGGAAATGATAACTGACTGGAATGTGCCCCTAGTAACAGAGTTCTGACCACCATTAGGCGTTGGGGTGGTGGGGGAGGGTCATCTCTCAGGATAACTGCCTCATGCTCCTCATTGCTGACGAATTTTCGGCTTGATTCTTCAGGAAATTTCCGGAATTGTTTAATTGGTTTAAAAACTTTCTGGGCTATAAGGAGTCTGTGCATCTGGAAACCTTCCCGAAGGAGCGAGCCACCGAGGGCATCGCCATGGAGATAGATTATGCCTCCTGTAAACGGCTGGGCTCCAGCTATCGAGCCTTGCCCAAGAGCTACCAGCAGCCCAAGTGTACAGGACGGACTCCTCTCTGTAAAGAGGTAAGGCTTCCCCAAGCAAGGCTCAGTCCTAGGCTTACTCCAGCAGGGCGCCAGCAGTCGATGTAGGATTGATATGATCAGGGACATCAAGATTTTCAAAAGAAAGCCTCACTTTTATTTATGGGTGTGTATGTACTTGCTAAAGGTGAAACCTACAGAATTAATAAAAAGGAGACCTTAAAGTGTTCATTGCAGATTGAGTTAAAAGCTAACGATTTTTCCACACACATTTTGAAGCCCCTCATATTAGCTACCGAGTAATGTTTTTAGCGTTTCTCCTTCCTAGAGAGTTCAGTCTATGTATTGAGAATGCTTTTCAGGCTCTTCTCCTCTTCCCCACAGGTTTTAAACGACACCTGGGTTTCCTTTCCTTCCTGGTCTGAGGACTCGACCTTTGTGAGCTCCAAGAAGACCCAGTATGAAGAGCATATCTATCGATGTGAAGACGAACGCTTTGAGGTACAAGCTCCGGGCACGAGGAGGTCCCGAGTGAAAGATGGGCATTTCTACTCCTGCACACAGTCGCATCCTGGGCACCCACAGAGGCACTTCTCCC